CAGGAATGCATTCTATGGTAGATGAATGTTGAATAAAATGAGAGAAGTTGGAAAAAACAGAGAACAAGATGATATTTATTTTGCAGAGCTATAGGCAAGTCAATTACATAAGACTAGGAGCTAACGGTTATATTCATTATTTCAGCCATGAAATCCTAAACAAACTTCTAAGAATAGCAAAGCAATATTGGAACTAAACAATCTGCAGAAGAACTAGGAAATAAAGCCGACTTGGCCAATAATTTTGCATGACTGGTGTTGTAGTTTTTAACATCCCTCTTAACACCAGCATCTTTTTTGTTAACCATTCCGAGCTGATGACAAAAGCTTTCAAACTTGTTGCCACTCAAGCTTTTTGTAAACAAATCTACAACTTGATTTTTTGTGGTAACATATTTCAACTCAATTTCTTCTTGCAGCACCTTCTCTCTAATAAAATAATGCACTTTTATGTGCTTAGTTCTTACATGAAAAATAGGATTTTTAGCCAAACGTATTGTTGATTGATTATCATAATATAATGTAACTGCTATTTTTATTGGTTGACATAGATCCTTCAATAATCATATAAGCCAAGTACTCTCTTGTGCTGTTATTGTTGAAGCTTGGTATTCTACTTCAGTTGTTGATAAAGACACAGTTGGTTGTCTTTTGATGCACTAAGAGATTGCTCCCCATCCAAGCATAAAAACATACTTGGTAGTTGAGCGTCGAGTATCATGATCACCTGCATAGTCAGCATCACAAAAACCAACTAGGTTGTAGTCTTCATCTTTCTTATATAGAATGCCATAATCAAGTGTGCCCTTCACATATGGTAAAATTTGCCGAACTGCTTCTAAATGAAGTTTCTTTGGATTTTACATGTATTAACTCAACACACCTACTGCATGAGAAATATCTGGTCTACTTAAAGTTAAGTAAATCAAACTGCTTACTAATTATCGATACATTATTGCATCTTCTAAATCCTTCCCTTCAAGAGCACAAACTTTTGCATTTGCTTCTATTGGTGTTGAGATTGGTTTGCAATTAACCATTCCAAACTTCTTCAATAAATTGCTAGAATATCTTTTTTGATGAAGAACTAGCCCTTCATGAGTATAATCAATCTCTAGACCAAGAAAATGCTTGAGTTGCCCAGGCTCTTTCATTTGAAAACAAACTGATAAATTTTGCTTTATCAAGAAAATTTCTTTTTTATAATCTCCTATTATAATTAAGTCATCAACATATACTAGCATAGTAAGCTTTGTGTTAACTGATTTGACAAACACACTACAATCTGCAGATGTTACTAAATAGCCACTATAAGTTAGAAATTTAGCAATTTTACCATATCAGGTTCTTAGTGCTTGTTTTAATTCATAGAGCATCTTTCGTAACTTACAAACACATTTAGGATGATCTTGATTTTGAAATCTTATTGGTTGGCTCATGTAAATTTCTCGATCCAATTCTCCATGTAAAAACACATTCTTCACATCCATTTGCCACATATTTTAATTTTTATTAGCTGTAAGTGCAAGTAAAACTCTAACCGTTATAATTTTTGCAATTAGACTAAACATTTTATCATAATCCAGTCTATACTATCGAGAGAAACCTCGAGCTACCAGGCGTGCTTTATATCTTTCAATTAATCTATCCGTGCGACGTTTTAGTTTGTAGACCCATTTGCAAGAAATAGGCTTCACATCTCTTGGTTTCAGTACAAGCTCCCAAGTCTGGTTTCGTTCTAAGGCAACAAATTCCTCTTTCATGGCTTTATTCCATTCCAAACTGAGCTGTGCTTCTTCAAATGTCTCCGGCTCTGTTGCGTCTTCTTCTTCTGTTATAACAGCATTAGCATATTTAGGATTTGGCCTTTGAATTCTTGTTGATCGTCTTGGTTCAACTGTTTTGCTAGGCTCTCCTTCTCCTTCTTCACTTGGTTGTTCATACACACCTGTTCGTCATGGACGTTGTGCTGTGTCATCATCTGAAACTTCTCCTGCTTCTAAATCCAGTTGAAGCTGGGCAGACTGCAAAGAAGCTGAATCTGGTAACGTCTCCTTTTCTGAAGACCACCATGAGGATGCTTCATCAAAGACCACATTACGTGATGTGTAGCACTTCCCAGTTAAAGGATCACAACATTTCCACCCTTTTCTTTGACTGTCATAGCCCACAAAAATACATCTCACGGCTTTCTTGTCAATCTTGCTACGTAAATGATCAGAAATATAAACACATAGCATACACATCCAAAAACACAAAAATAACTGACTGTAGGTTTCATGTTCCATATTTTTTCAAAGGGTCTAAGGAAACATAACAGTTTCTGAGGAAGCCTGTTGATCACATAAGCAGCAGTTTTCATTGTTTCTGCTAAAAAACGTCCTGAAATATTCTTTGCATGGAGCATACTGCGGCAGAGTTCTGTGAGGTGTCTGTTTTTTCTACGCCATTCTGTTATGGAGTGTTGGCACATGTGAATTGATGATGTATTTGGTGTTCCAGTAGACAATTAGAGAATTCATCGGATGTGTACTCTCCCCCATTGTTTGTGCGTAAAGAACGAATTTTTTCACCAATCTCTGCTTCTGCTGCACTCTTGAACTCTTGGAATTTTGAGAAGGTTTCAGATTTCTCTTTCTGAAAATAAACCCACACATACCGTGAAAAATCATCAATAAAAGTCACCATGTATCGCATTCCACTGATAGAAGCTTGCTTCACAGGTCCAAAAATATCAGAATGGACTAATTCCAATGGTTTCTTGGCTTTAAACTTGGACTCTTCATACGGCAACTGATAAGCTTTTCCATACTGACATCCTGCACACACTGTGTCTGTTCTTACTTTAAGTTGAGGAAGTCCCTTCAACATCGACTTCTTCATCATTACAGCTAGTTTAGAATAGCTAACATGACTCAAACGTAGATGCCATAAGTCTGTTGTCTCGTTCTTTCTGGTTTAGAAGGGAGAGAGAAGGGAGAAAGAAGAAGAAGAGAAAAGAAGGGAATTAGAAGAAAATAGAAAAGAGTTGAAGGAAATAAGTTTAAAGGTAAGATTATATATAAATATGTGTTGATTAAGTTTTAATTTTGGTTTTGATAAATGTTAGGGTTTTGAAAATTTGTGT